TCCACTGACATCCAAGCATGTTTCCAATCTTTTTTGGAAACTCGCCATCACCCGGTTGCAGCTGCCTGGTCTCCAGACCTAATGCCTTGTGATTTCTGGTTGTGGGGCTGCTTGAAGAGCTAAGTTTTCACCACGAAACTCCAAACTATTGCAGATCTGAAGAACCACAACAGTAATAAAATTGCTGCAATATTAATGTCCATGATACGACAGGTGATGTAGATTTTTCAAAAAAGGTTGGAAATTTGCTTGGATGTTGGTGTACATCATGTGAGGGATGCCATATTCCATGAGTAAAACTGGTTTAGCTATGGGATTTTTTTTATAATATTTCTTTGGATTTTAATAAACTGTAATTTTGATTTCACACAGCTTTGTTTTCTTTATTACTTCACACCCTCAAAAAAAAAAAACATTGTATAGATTTCAAACATTATTTACTTTTATACCACCTCCATTAGGAAAGTTGAGTAGTTTGAACAACTTACACTTACAAAAACTGCTAATTGTTAAGGAACTATTCAACACAAAAATCATCTCTCTAACCTATTAATTAGCTGAGCTTTCACAAAATAAAATGTTAGTGGTTATTATGGACCAACCGGTACATAAAAAAAAAAAAAAAATTAAAAAAGAATGATGGACTAATATAATTTCTCAGTGCTTAATAAAAGTTAAACGACTTTATAGGCTTACCTCCGTTAGTAGTCCAAATTGTGTCTATAATAAAGTTGTTCTAAGCTGACATGTTTCGTTGCAATTCAACATCGTCGGATTGTTATTTCGTGTCTAAATGTCCTGTGTCCTGTGTCATGTGTATGTACTGTATGTGAAAAATTATTTTGAGGTTTTTGACGTAAAGCTCTGACGATGTTGCATTGCAACGAAACATGTCAGCTTTGAACAACTTAATTATTTGAAGTTAGATACAATTTGGACTACTGACGGGTAGGTAAGCGGAGGTAAGGAATGTGGAGGCTGATGGAGGTAAGCCTATTAGTGATGGGCGGATCCAAGAAAATGTCGGCACCAGATCCGGATCCATATAAGATTTTTTCTTTTTTTCCAAGGGCGGGTTTTTAAAAATAACTAATATGCCTAGGCAATTTCAAAGTATTTGTTGATATCAAAAATTCATTTTTCTAGGTAATGTCAAAGACTGTCTGTGTCCATGTACTATCTTTGGACACAGATTGTCTTGCATTGGACACAGATAGTTTTGTATATGGACACAGATAGTCTTGTATATGGACACAGACAGTCTTGTACATGTACATAGATAGTCTTGTACATGGACTCTGATAGTCTTGTACATGGATACATATAGTCTTGTACATGGACTCTGATAGGCTTGTACATGTTCAGTTCATGGACACATATAGTCTTGTACATGGACACAGATTGTCTTACATATGGACACAGGATAGTCTTGTACATGGACACAGATAGTCACTATTAATTCTATTTTAAAATACATCACTATGACAAAACGCTTGTTCTTATATGTGAATTGTACATAATAACTACGTTTTGTGTTGATAGAATAAAAAAATAATAATCCAATTTTTTGTGGATCCGATTGGGTGTCGGTTCTAGCTCAGATCCGGCGGATCCGGTATTGTGGCGGTGATAAGAACCCGCGGGCCCCCCCGCAAGTTTGTTCGCCGGGCCCCCCTCTCCCAATGATCTTTAAAAACATTTTCCCATGTATTACCGCCTAAACTTGCAATTTTGCAGTAAACTTAACAAGGCATCTCCCGAGGCGTCATTATCGTCTTCCATGATCGCGGCAAAATCGTAAATACTTCCCGTAGTCATAAGTCATGAAAGAAACATTATCATAGTTTACCGTGATTGCAAATGCAACCAAACCTTTGACATCATTAGATAGCAGCATCATTGTCTCCCGTGTTCACGGCCCAATCTAATATCACGGGCTAATATCTCCCCGCGACCCGTCGGTGGTGACGGATAAATCATTTTTCCGTAATTGTGGCTAAATCCTAGATATATTTCTCGCTAAAAAAACGTCATTATCGTCTTCTGCAATCGCGGAAAAATATTGAACAACTGCGGCCGAGGAGACATCGTCATCGTCACCCGCGGGGAAATGTTCTCGTTGATATCCGCGATCGCGGCAAAAGCGTAGGCCTAATCTTTCAATTTCGTGAGCGTGATCCTTACGGATATAAAAGCTTTTACTTTTAATTGTGCATTATTGTATTGAATACTGAGAAAATCGGCTCGAGCTTGATTTTCTGACTTTGTGCTTGATCTCTCGAGCTTGTAGTCCAGGCTTTGCTCGGCTCGAAAATCGAAATTATAGGCCTATTATAAAAATCAACCGTTTCCAAAGCAGCCCGATTTTGAACCTATCTGATTTGGCCGGAGGCCCTTAGGTAAGTAACATTTTTACCCGACTCGATGTAAACACATCTAAAGTGTGAAGTAAACAAATCTAAAGGGCAGCCTCCCAATAGTAAGACATGAAATGAAATGAAAATCCTTCTTTAGCATCAATGAAAGAATGGAATTATTTATTAGCTAGTGCCCTAGCCACCTAGGTTAATTTGCCGATTTGGTCGTAACAAAATTGTCAAGTTTATTTAGTAGAATCAGCATAGAGGAACCTCTATGGTGTCACCCGCTGGGGGCTAGGGATGATTAACATTAATGTTTTATCTTCCTAGGCCAGAGGCCACATTGGTTATAAATTTGGCCCTATTATTATGCAACCAATTTTGACTGCGCCTTCATACAATCCACGAGGACAGTTAATGTCATACAACCCGTATGACTATATTTCTTTTACTTAGGTTGGTAGATCATTTATATAGATCGGTCAAGTAATAGTGTTAGTGTAGCTGTTGTAAACTACTTGAACTATTGGTTTGAACAAATTTTCATCATAAAAAACGTATTTTAATTCTCATATAAATATTTTTATGATAGGGGACCCGTGTGGCTGAGCCTGTCAAACTATCGCGGGCCCGTGTGCCGGTAAAATTTACCGAAAATCCCGGTCAAGGCTCACGGGCCCCCCTAGCTAGCTAGCCGCTATCGCCACCACTGATCTGGTAGTCCGATATTTGGATCCGCCCAAACTACTATAAAGTCATTTATACGTAGTCCAGGGGCTATTAGAATGAATACTATAAAAGTTAAACTTTATATAACAAGTTTTAGAATGTTATCTGGCCATATTTAATATATAAAACTGTACTTTTAGTTGGATAGAGGATTTTGACTCAAAGAACAAATGAAAATTGAAGTCTTGTCTCTTCTGAAAGAATGTAGTTTGTAGTTGATCAAAAATTTTTAACGGCAGAAATATGTATATTTGGTCTTTTCAAGCTATGATGTAGTTGAAAATTAGTTGCTAGATTATTCTAATGGGAAGGATATTATCTCTAACCACAAATGGGTCAGTTAATTTAAAAAAAAATGTTTTTTTATTCATTTCTTTTTCTAATTAGGCTCTACATTTACCCAAACAAATAATGATAATATTATTTTTTTGTTTTTTTAAATTTTTTCCTACAGTTTGGTTTGATTGTGATATTATTACAGTTTTTGAGTTACTATAATAAACCTACATTTATTGTATTGTAGAAATTAGTTTGTTAATGTTTTTTCACCATCTTGCGTCTAGTTTCTGTCATATACAGTAAAGTCCCGCAAACTTGGCACTCGATAACCCGGCAGTCTGGATAACTCGGCCATCTCCTGGCTCGGAAAATTAGTGACTTTTTGAGTCCGAGTCAATCATAGACTCAAGCCAGCTTAAGTCAAATTATTCGCAACTTGTACTAAGGATTTGTTGTAGTATATCTGATGATGTAATACTGACTAATACTGACTTTTACTATAAACATAAATAAAAAAGGTGGTTAAAAAGCTTAAAAATTGTATTGTTCTTATTTTTAACCCTAGTTCCCGATAACCTGGCATTTCACAAAATCAGCACCCTTCCAGTCCACATTACGCCGAGTTTGCGGGACTCTACTGTACCAGTTTTTCTCTGTTTTGTATTGAAATATAGTTTGGGACACTTGTATCAAGGCCCCACTAGAAAAACAGGCCATGCTGCAGGATCCTTGATGTCACACTAGTGGATAGATTTAATTGATAAATTCATTGTTATCGCCATTCCCATATGTTTTAGGTAAATAAACAAGCTGGCTGTTTGTAAGATTTTAATGGTAAGAGTTTAGTACAACTATCCACCACTGTGACGTAGTGTTGCGCTGCTCATGCTGTAGCATGGCCTGTTTTTGTAGTGGGGCCTTGCTTGTATGTACAGTTAGTTTGCACTGTTTTGTCAGCATCACAAGCTTCATTGCTTTAGTTGAAACTCACCAGCTGATGCAGTTTGATTGAGAGTGGGGTTTTTACGTCAATCAAATAAGAACATTATTATTTTAGAGATCCTTTGAAGCCTCTTCAAAAAGTATTATTTGAATTTGGTCTGTGATTTAATTCTAATTTACATTATTAAAATTGGACATAAAGCTTCCAAATTTGAAGAAATTGAATGATTGTGGCTGGTTTCTGGAGCTTCTTTCCTGTCATTTATTCATTAGCAGTAAAAATTCCACTTTTCTTACATCACTATTTTTTTGCCTTTAAAGCTTTTGTCTCCGGTTTAACTTTCCATTTTTCAATTTTCGTTCTAAAATTATTTCTACAAAAAATTGACTTTATTAATAACTTTTGCTAATTTCAATTTGTCTAACAATTTGTATACATTTTCCTATTCTTTTTGTAAGTCTATTGTCAGGAAGCCTCTTTATGTGGCCATAGGTTGAACTTCAAATGCCTTTTCTTCATGTACGTTGAAGAAAAGGCATTAACGGCCTTAATGGCGGTTAATGGCATACCATTAACGGGGTACATAATAACACTAAGATATTGTATCAGCTGATGTGTTGTACTGGTGTGTTGTTGTTGTTGTTATTGTTGTTGTTGCGTGAGTCACTAACATACTGTGTGGGAGTCAGACAGTACTGGGTTGGCAGGCCACTGGTCCTACATCCACACCATACGCAAGCCCAAGCTGCGAGGCCAAGTAGTTGAGGTCAAGACGCAGCTCACACACCGAGACTACATCAACATGTTGGCGCAGAGGGACGACTCCCACTTCACCATCTTCAAGCGACGCCGCTGTTTTCTTGATAACAACCAGTATTTCCAATTAGACATCTACAGAGAACCTTGCCATCCTAGGTATGTTTTCACGTGAAAAGTAGGAATACTGTAGTAATAAAAATAAAATAAAGAGTATAAATATCTTATGAGTATTCATATTTAAAGGGAATTAAAGAACATAGACAGCTGTTTCAACTAAAAAAGTTGGTTCTATGATATGCAAAATAATTAAAATGTTATAAGATTTACCAACAGGGTGCAGCACTATTATTTTTTTTTTTTGCATTTATATAACAACAGCTTATAACTATAAGCAGCAACAAAAAACTGTGATACACAATGACTAGTGGCTTGTAGGGGCAATAGCCCCTATATATATTCTAGTAATTATATTGTACAAATTATGAGTCTCATGGGTTACCCTAATTTGAATTATCATTTAACACTTTTGTATATTATGATATGTATAATATAGTTATTACATACCTGCACAATGCATTTTGATGTCTGCTCTGTTTAAAATAAAAATTCCAAAGGACATGCGGTGTGTTTATAATATAAATAGGGATGGTCAAGTTCAAAATTTCGGGAAATTTTAAATCTCGTTACACGAGACGAGATTTCTTTTTGGCCGAGATTTTTATCGAGACGAGAAAAAAAAATTAAAAAAAATTAAAAAAAATTAAAAACGCCTGCAGAAAGTCAATGCAATACCTGCAATACAGGAGCGTGTTGTAGTTGCGTTTCCTTTGCAAAGGCGTTCTTATTTAATTAATTCTTTAAATGTAAATACTACTTTAATTATTTTAATAATATTACTTTAATAACATTTGAGAAGTTTTGTTAAGTGTAAGCAGTGTGATCAATGTTTTATTACTATAAAAAGTCAAAACAAGTAACTATTTTATAAAAATTAATATTGCTTTTATTTTATGATTTATTTTATTTTAGGATAAGTTGAACTCTATCCTAACTGATATCACTATATTTCCTAATCGTAGGCATTTTTAATAAGTTAGACGTGAAAAATGTTATGCTGATGTTTTTTAATAAAAGATTGTAAATATTCTTGCCTATTATTATTATTTTTGTATTTAAACAGTCATCTAACAATGTTACTAAATCAGGTAAAAATTTTGAACGTGCATTTCCCGTTGTGTATGAGAAGGGAAGTCCCGTCTCGATCTCGTCTCGAAATTTTAAGAGAAATAAAAAATCTCGTCTCGTCTCGTCTCAAATTAAAAATCCAATCTCGTCCATCCCTAAATATAAACTTTCTAATTATAATACAGTACAACTAAAGAACATTTTCCAATAACAATTTTCATGACTATTAATTAAATCTATATAGATTTCTATAAATATAGACAAATTAACTTAGAAAAACGCATAGAGATAATGTCATCTGTCATCATCCAAATTTTAAAATGTTAATTTTATAACAAAATCTCGCTGAAAACGACATTTGTTGTATAGTATCCATTTTGGTCGAGTCCTTGGTCTTGATTTGGTTCTAGTACTATTTTAACATCATATCTGGCCGCTTTGCCAGTTAAAAGCGACATAGAGTTGACCATGGGTAAACACTGGGTTTTTCAAATGCCCACTTTTGTGAAGGTTCGGCCTTGCGCCACAATGTCACCAAATCAAATTGGACAATGCACCACGAATGCACCCATTGTTAATTGGTCCTAGGCTGTATAATGCAATCTCATTTATAAGTGATACAGCAATCAATACACAGGAATAAATTAATGTTCATCCATAGATCATTTATTGTTCTTCCAATATCACGCCAAATCTGGCGCCTGTTGTTCTCATTTCGAGGAACAATACCTCTGCGTGGCGGCCTACCTCTGCGTGGTGGTCTTCTGACATTATACATTAATACTGTGCAAAAGAACAATCCATTTTTAAGTATTAAGTTTGAAAGTATCAAATTCTTTGTTCAAAATATTTTAGGCCCTATCTAATTTTCACTTTGTGTTATTTACTACTTCTTACAATAACAAAATAATGCACATTCAGGTGTGGTTATCATTTTTTCAATTGACAGCTGTGTTTAGACTAAATAAAAAGACATAAAATTGGATTCCCGTGCTATATGAATGTAAATTATTTCATTTCCTAACAACCTTTTGGTGCATAATTAAGAAAAATTAATAATTTTCCCCAAAATTTCATGCCCAGACCTTTAAAATGAGACCTCTCCCAGCTTTCTACGGCCTCCCGTTCGCTCACAGTTTCATTGTAAAATTTTGGGCTTAAGGAATTAGATATATAGATAACTGTCAATATAGGATTGTTTACAGTTAAGTTTATGTTTTTAATTTCATGAATAATTTGTGGTATTTTGCAAACTTTTAATAGTTTTAGCGAATTTCCCATATAGGGAATAAGCTATTACCGTAGTTCCCCGTAAGCTACGTAGTTCACCGTAGTTCACCGTTCTATGGTGAGTACCGTAGTACTCATGGTAAGACCTGGACCCGGGACCGATTTTCTTTTTCGTTTTGAGGTCCCTAGAGGCCAAAAACACCATCCGTTCAAATTCATAACTTATATAATGTGTCCGTTAGCACAATAACTCAAGCAAAAACGATCCAATTTTGATGAAATTTGGTATAAATGTGTAAACCTACATTTATTTGAACGAGTTCGCGAACCAGCACGATCGGACTATGGGAACGGGGTTTTATGGGGTAAAAATAGGTTTTTCCCATTTTCGACCCTAAAAACACAAAATTTCACAATTTCTTTCCAAACCATTTTGTAGAGCTTAAAAAAACAAATAATTTAGTATATTGAAGCATTATTGTGCGCCTAATGGTTACGGAGAAAATTCCAAAAAAATTGTAAATGTAAATTTAAAATTCCCATGTTATTCTTATGGGGAATAAGTCAACTGTTGTAGTTTGCTTGTTAATGAACATATTTTGATGGAATTTGGAAAATACATTAATTTTCTTACTAAACTTTTAACATTTTACAACAAAAAACACTTTTTTACCCTCCTTGTTGCAGCAAACCTAAGTACTCGTTAAACTAATTCTATTTAAATAGGGAATAAATGTGATATATTTTAGTGTAAATCCAAATCAGGCAAATGGAAATTCCCTTAGTCTGCAGGTTTGCTAGATATGTAATACTATGGTACAGGGATACATATATATACAGGGCTAATGTATATCTCTAGCCCTGAATATGGTATGCCGTAAATTTAATGAAGGAAATAATCAAACTGTGTCCTCTCCCATTGCAAACGCAAAGCTTGAGTATAACTGCAATGAGCATTTTATACTTATATGCCAACCCCGTACGAAGGACGGGTACTCTGCTAGTATATATTTATATACAGGGTGATTGAAAAGTCTGGGTACGGTTAAATATTTTAAAATATATTGCAGATTGAGCTACAATACTTGGTACAAAGTTACAGGGCATAAAACTCTATTTTAACACATATTCAGTGATCCAATAACTCCTCAGGGGGACGGCTCACAAGGAGTCGGAAGAAAATCTTAAATAGAAGCATAAGTCAATATGCACATCAAATTAAAGGTCTTTTTAGTAGGATACAATGCCGCAAACCGCACTTCAAAAGGTTGATCCTGCGCAAAATGACAGTTGTTCAAAGATTCATTTAATTTACATTGCTATTATACGCTTACTCCTCAGAGAGCACAGCCCTAGGAATCGGAAGAAAATTGTTAACTTAAGCATAGGTCGATATGCACATCAAATTAAAGGTCTTCACTAGTAGATTACGATGCCGTAAATTCAAGCTCAAAAGAATGCATGAGTAAAAAATGACAGTCGTTCAAAGATTCAAAATGGCGGATTCAAGAAATCTTTGAACATCTGCCATTTTGCGCAGGATCAACCTTTTGAAGTACGGTTTGCGGCATTGTATTCTACTAAAAAAGACCTTTAATTTGATGTGCATATTGACCTATGCTTCCATTTAAGATTTTCTTCCGACTCCTTGTGGGCCGTCCTCCTGAAGGGTTATTGAATCACTGAATATGTGTTAAAATAGAGTTTTATGCCCTGTAACTTTGTACCAAGTATTGTAGCTCAATCTGCATTATATTTTAAAATATTAAGCCGTACCCAGACTTTTCAATCACCCTGTATATGAATTCAAATGGATGGTGTTTTTGGCCTCTGGGGACCTCAAATGGGGCAAACCTGACTAGCTTCTGCCTTAATCTACCCCATTTTACAACCAAAAATCGTTGTATTTCAGCTATTTCTTATTCAATCTTTTTGAACTTGGTATCGTTTGATAGATGAAAAAAATGCTAAATAAAAGTGCTCCTGAAATTTGTTCATAAAACCAGAGATTTTTGAGTAATTTAAGTTTAAAAACTTTAAATGGCCGCCATTTTTAAATTTTAAGTTGAATTGAGATGAACTTTTTTTAACACGGGTCTCTTCTACCTTAATATACATACCAAGTCTCATAAAGATTGGTTGAAAATATTAAAAGATAAAAATGTTTATGTAAAAAAACAAAATGGCGGATATCTGGTTAACAAAGCGAGTTTGTAAAAGATTTTATTCTTGATTTTCTCTTTATTTTGACCCAAGGAATCATTAGGTAAAATATGTCCCCACCTTTTTTGAACACCCTGTTTATATATAGGCTATATATGAATTTGAACGGATGGTGTTTTTGGCCTCTGGGGACCTCAAAACGAAAAAGTAAATCGTCCCGAGTCCAGGTCTTACCATGAGACCTACGGTAATAGCTTATTCCCTATATTGGAAATTCTCCAAAAACCCAATTTTTACCCCATAAAACCTCCTGTAAAACCCTGTTCCCATGGTCCGACCATTCTGGTTCGCCAACTCAATTATGTTTAACTTATCCCTCCTTACACCGTTAAACCAATTTTGATTCAACTTAATATTTCAAAATAGCGGCCATTTTGATTTATTAATTGAAATTACCCGGTACTCAAAAATAGCTAAATTATGAAAAATTTTTTTGGAAAACTTACAATTAACTTATTAACTTTTTAACAAATTAAATTTAGCATTTTTAATTTCCTTTTAAACGATACCAAGTTCAA